GTATCGGCAAATCGTTGTGTGCCGAAACTTGTTAGGAACTAGTTGAGCTATGAGGTAAGCGTAAAATTGTAGGATGGAGACTGTGTGGAAAAGTACTGAAGTTGCCACTCCTCCAAACTTATTTTTGTCTTAGTTTACCAACTCAAGAGGCGCAGCTGAACCTGAACGTCTCTCGGCTCCCTCAGATTAGCCAATACATGTACCTTATGACTGTACGAAGTTGACGTAGGCACAAAACTAAACCAAAAAATAGTCATCGGTTAAAGCATACCCGAAGCTCATGCTTTTTTGAATTATCAACGAAGAACGTGTGGGCGTGCGTGATATGAAGAACACCCTGTATCCAGGCGTAACCATTGAAACAATCAACAAAGGTGATGTTTTCAAACTAGAAGTTGAGAAAAGATTAACCGATTACTGCAGGTCTCTCAGGGCGACAAAGGCAGAAATGGTTTAACGATAAGCTAAGTAAAATAGAAGAATACAGGGATAATCGTTTACAGTAATCGAGTGTGGTTATTCCCAAAAGCAGGTAGAGCAAACATTAGGGCATCCAAAGTACTGAGTTGAAAAAAACTGGGTCAAAGCAGCACAAATAAAAACTGTATTTCTCAACTAAATGTTCGAGCTAAAATATGCAAGATTAGTGACAACTTAATTAATAAACTATGACGAGGCATAGAAAAAAGGCATAGCTTGATGACAAAATTCATTATCAAATACTAAAAGCATCCTTTTCCAAGAAATATCGTTCATAAGACTAGTTTGTAGTATTTCCCAAAAGGGCACAATCTCCCAATTATATCACCTGCCCCAAAACACCAAGAGATAGAAGCCTTGGCGTCACAGGGCCCCCAAATATAGATCGTAATTCACAAATCTTTATAAACGATTTAGGGAATCAATAAAGTTCACAGGATCCATGGGAACCTGCATACTTTGGACAATTCAGGGAGATGCATTCGGGACCTTCATCGGCGGCGACAAAGTACATACAAGGTAGACCAATAGGAAACAGGCTTTTTCCAGATTAAGTAATACAGAGAAGGTGGCTAAAATTTGATAGCTAAAGAATTTCTTTCGAAAATGACGGACATTGTCATTATTTTTACTGATTGCAGTAAAGCTAAGGCAATAAAAACAATTATGTGATATTTTGCCCTTAAATCCACAGGAATTTAATTACTCTCTCTGCTCTTTAACTTGAATAGCATTTTACAAATTGTAAAACCTTTTCATGATTCCAGAGCGCAAACTTTGTCCTCTTCTGAAATTTGCTAATGTATTTGCTCGAAAGTGCTGTAGCTTTTAACTGACTTAACTTTGATGAATCCTACGCACTGAACCAATCTCCATCTACAAATCGACTGCGAATGTATCAAATTATTCTTACAGTGGTCGCGCCATGCCTCAGAACCCAAGCCACCTCTAAGTAATATTGTCTGTGAGATATAGATGTAATACGTTACTCGAATATTCAACTCTTAGTTTTGGTAATAGACCCACACTGGAGCCCTGCCATTGTACTCGTGCCGAACGGGTTGTCCTCTACTCCATGCCATTAACTCCAATGCATACTCTGTTGGAGTACTATGCCTCCTTAAGCCTTAAGAAAATTCTCGGGACGCTACATAGGTGCCCGCGCTATCAAACGCAGAGTTAACAATCTGTCAAATCGTTACCTAACGCAACACCAACTGCCTCAATCAGGTTTGTTTAAAATTTGGCATAAGTTTTACACCCTCGCATCTTAAGCATACAATTCTAGACATCCTCACGGTAAATCATAATTTGCGATGGAATGGGTAATCACCTGGTGATAATATTTCTTCATCTTCTAATGTCAACTATGTCGATGAACATAGGTAAACGTGTTTTCCTTAATACCTAGTTTATAACTTTCGAAAGTTGTTTGGGTTGTACCATCTCAGGTATTATGATGATACAAATTTAATCTAGACAGGTGGCATCATTGAGATGTCGTTAATCTCAAATATATCAATTATAATGAAGCGGAGTTCAAAAATACGTAGAGGCGCGCAGAATCCTAGAAGTTGTGAACTCTTTTTTGTATCCAAATTGAAATCTTTGCTAAATAATTTAAGTGGAATGGAAAGCCGAAGAATCAAGACATTGGCTCAGTTGTTGAAAGCTCCGACATAGTTTCTGCAATAAATTTAAATATAAACATGTTAGCAACAGTGAGGCACCTGAATAAATCTTAGTACGTAAAAAGTCAAATAGATGGAGAAAATAAACCAGTCTGTGATAATCCTTAGTATGTGATATTTCCGAAAAGTGGCTGAAAATCAAGATGCTTTGAGGCGTGTCAACTGTCTTTTCTCAATCATCACCCGATCAACTTACAAACATTGCAACAATTTTCGCTCAGGTTCAAATCGGTGAACGGCTTTTCTATAAGGCACTTAGAAAATTCGGAGGTTTCACACAAATTTATGTTATGCAAACGATAAACTCTTCAGTATGATGCACTGGAATTCATCCCATGCCGACGAGTTAGTGTACTCATGTTCCGCGGGACATTCCACCGCAGGATCTAGTACCACTCTCGACACTTTGGAACTAAACCACCTCCCTTATAATTGGAATCTCATGTTTTAAAAGTAATAATTCCAATCGCCCAAAGAAAATTCACTATAGTCGCTTACGCAATCCATTTTGGTGCGGCGTGAAGGTTAGGAGGTTTGCGGTTCCCCTAATTCTTGGTGCTAATGTACTGTCTTCCCTTTCGATGCAATATTGAATGAATTGATACAGGAATTTCAATTGGACCTATGGAACAAAACCTACAGTTAGCATCACATGCTCACAAATAAAACCAACTGCTGTCTCAGTAACGCACCCAGGTTTGCACCATATTGGGCCTCCATCGTCGAATGGCCAGGGTAGTCCCGAAAATGTCCATCTTTTCGGGATGTGCCCGCAGCCTCTCCAGTAAATAACTTGCAGCAATGAGGGTCCCGGTTCTCCCCACCCCAGCACTAACAAAAAGGAAATTTTATTAACTGATATTTTTTTCTAAGATGTGAACTTAGCTACAGCAGTTCATGGCCATGGCCATGACCATTTAGACCTTTTATGTGCCAAGACTTATCCATTGTCCTGTATTGATTTACATCCTCATGGCTTTAGAGAAAACTCGAAACACCGTAACATTTTAACTGTCAGTTTTAATCACAAACATAAGATCACTTTTCATGAAAAGATGCAATGTACCTGCAATGAACAACCGGCGGACCACAACTCCTGTTCACCGGATTCTCTCGAATAAATTTCATGTGAAGATTAATTAAATTGTAGAAAGCAGTCATGTCCGCTGCTTTACAATCCGGCCATTGGGTGAAATGGAACTGCGTGACATACCAGGGCTGCCAACACAGATGTCAGCCAATCAGCATTGCAAACATCAGATCGGAAAACGCGAGTAAAATAGTAAGATGAACAAGTGAACGAACGAGCGAACCTCAGTTTTATTTGTAGGCATGATGCAAAGTGTGCGACGAACAAGACCGAAATTGAGAGTGTGCACGTTTGAAGTAGTGACCTTGACGCTTCGAGTGGCTGAGGTCACCATGAGTTCACACTCATCGTCCCAGTACTCCTTGCACTTCTGCTTCCCATCTTCTTCGCATCTTTAAAGAAGCACACCATTTGCAAATTAATAATTTTGAATAAGTGACACAAGTTAAAATCTAGCCAGAAATTCATGGTGTGAATGTGATAGATTATATGGCGTGGACGATTTATTTTAAATGTCCAAATCAGAAACAGGTATTTGCTTTTCTCGATAGATATTTACTTATCAGAGAAACAACTGTTAGCAATATGTGCCAACAATGATTTTAAGTAAGCTTCGAACAGTAGTCCATTATTTGGCTCCCTCCTTCGGTTGGGCCTAATCTCCTCTGATTTCAATGGCCATTCTGCCGCTTCCACCCCAGTAGATCTGCCCATGGGCCATAATAAACTGCGTAACAGGAATAACGACCGTCTAATGAATTTGTAACTTAATGGAAATACTGTCTCATAGTGGCATTACGTACTGTAGTATTGTCGGAATTCGGAATTGTCAAGTCCTCTTCAAGGTGAACTATATCGGTTAGCAAGTTATTTGAGCAGCTGTGGCAAAAACTGGACAATGTTCCACAGTCAGCACAGACTGTATGCCAGACACTATCGAAAGAACCACTTGCATAAATACAGTTGCATTTTTGCCAGACTCTTCAGTCTTTTTCTTTCAGCCAAGTCTGTAGATTCCGAAACCTTCCCTGCTTTAACTATAAATCTTCTTCCCCTCTAGTATTGAATATAACCAATCCGAGGGAGTGTTAGAAAGCTCTGATAATATCAGTGAAGGAAAAAGATGTCTTTTTTAGAAACCGGATTTTACTTTTTGCACCATGAACGAGCATTGTGAAGACCTCAAAATAAGGGATCTGGCGAAAATCAACAGCGACTTATCAATTTCACGGTGACGGGCCTAAATCGGACGTTCACAGTGCATATATCCTCTGCTACATAGATCTGCTTGCAAGCCAAAGAAACCAAGCTGATTCCTCTCTAGGATCACATTCATTCACTGATGACACCAGTGTAGTGCCAAAGGTATTCCAGAGGGGCCGCAAGACTGCAGGCATGGCCTCCTGCCTGCCTGCGCAGGTAAGCCCATTCATAAGTAGACATCAATTGTCTAGCTCAGTTATGGTAAGATGATGGTCTTATAAAACAACATTTTAAGGCTAATAGTCATATTGGGGCATAATTGCCATTCATCTTAACAAAACAAAGCCCTAAATGTCACTTCAGTTGAAAATCCAGCATATTTATCGACAAGTCTAATTTGATGTTTGAGGGCATAGTGCCTACAATTGAAGCCATTGCGCAGACTTGCTGCTCAAATATGCTGTGCCAGTATTTAAACTGAGGGACGGCCACCACTTGGATTACTTATGCTAAGAAGCAACCCACCGGCAGAGCATTAGGATTAATTTTGAGCGCTGTTCATAGACCATTGTGAGAAAGTCAGCACCAGTCGTCGACATCGGACCCTGCGTGGCGATATAGTTGGGTGGGTCTGACGGATCACACGGCATGGCCTCTCCTTTCATCCCAAAAATCGGTCGGCGTATGTAGGAGGCGTTAATGTAATTATTCAGCAGTTCCGTTGCCTAAAAATAAGGAGAATCTATCCACTTTCTGTTACTCAAACTGCCACATTT